GGTCACTCCACTTCCTGCAGGAAGTAGGCAGATCCCCATCCCCCACGGAGGCCTGCGCCAGCCCCCTGCTTAGGCCTGGGGCCCCAGCCTGCTTTGCTCTCCTGGCTCCCAGGCTTGGGGGAAACCGCCCCCCCAGCACTCACCGCCAGCACGGCTGGGAGCCAGGGGAGCGAAGCAGGCTGGGGCCGGATCACTCCACTTACCATGCGGTGAGTGCAGGGTCCGGCCTGGCTGCAATCTTCAGGGGAGTGGGGGGGCGGGGCGGGGCGCCCCCCCTGCGGCAGCTTCCCACCCCCTCTCCGCCCGGGGAGCCCCCCCACGGCAGCTCCCTGCTCCACCCTATGGCGCCCCCTCTGCCCGGGCAGCCTTCCCCACCCCAGCTCACCTCCGCTCCGCCTTCTACCCTGAGCACGCTGGCGCCGCTCCACTTCTCCCGCCTTCCAGGCTTGCGGCGCCAATCAGCTGTTTGGTGCGGCAAGCCTGGGAGGGGAGGAGAATTAGAGCAGGGGCGGCGTGCTTAGGGGAGAAGGTGGAGTGGAGGTGACCTGCACATCGCCCCCCTCCCCCCCCATTACTTGCTGCAGGCGGGGCAGCCCTCCCCGCATTCCTCTGCCCCAGCTCACCTCCACTCCACCGCCTCCCCTGAGTGTGCTTTTTGGCGTCCCCAACCACTTGGTGCCCTAGGCGGCTGCCTAGTTCGCCTAGTGGTTGCACCGGCCCTGTTCCTGGAGATTCATAACGGTGGTGATGGTAGGGTTGCTGGTTTAACTTGATGGAGCATTTCACCTGTACAATAGATCAGTGAATCAAATCCACCTCAGATCAGTAGTGAGTAGTTACCAGTGGTAGTTACCAACTGATGGCTCTCCAGGAGCATGAATAAAAATTAGAATAAAAATAAAATAAAATAAAACAAAACAAAAAACATATTTCTAAAATTTAAATCGGAGTTTTCTTTTTGAAAACAAAATATGTTTAAAATTAAATTTGAATTTATGATAGGCTATGTTAAGGCCTGTAACAAGGCCAGCTGCCTCCTGAGTGCCTCCTCATGGCTGGAGGTCATTCTGCAACACCCCACCACCGTTTCTCCTCTCTTTGAGGCCCCTTAAGAGCAGCACATGGGTTTCTCTGAGTTACCACCAACCATGCCCGCTTTAATTGAAACAGTTCACAACAATCAGAGTCCCCAAATGACATTCATCAACCGAACAGAAAAGTTTATACTTAGCTGTGGCATGTTCTATCACCACCAGAGCTCTTCTTCTGTCCCAATCTGTTCTCCCCGCCCTGCTCAGCCTTCCGGTTCTGGCCTCCAAGCCCAGACCCAATCAGGGTTTCCCACAGAAGGCTCCCAACTCCCCTGATGTCAGGCATTTCCTGCAGACCCTTTCACTTCCTGCAGTTTCCTGATCCCCCCCACCCCCAACAGCTTTTTATGGGGAAATCACGTGATTTCTCAGCTGTGGCTCATTCAGTAATCAGAGTGTGCTCTCCCCAGGCCCTCCAGCCCATAACAGTCAAGCCACACCTTTCAAGGCTGAAACATACTAGAATCTACTAAAATAATTTTAAAAAGATATATGCTGAACCAATGAGCCCTCCTTATATACCGTGAGGACCGAGTCCAAGATTTTGTTTTATATACAGAATCAATTTAGAGGGCAAGACATCTTTAACAAACTTTTGAATGCCAGTTGTATAAATATGGCACAACATGCCATGTACTGCATTAAGTTTTTATATTATTTTCAGTCTTTAGAACGGAGTGAACTCTGGTAATTTACTTATTTCCAGTTGTTAGTAGTTTCAATCTGTTGTGCACAAAAGATCTGCAGAAACACTTTTAGTTTCACTTTTTTTCTTTTGTAATCTACACACTTAAAATAGTTTTATTTAACTAATTAAAACAATTTTTAAATGCTGACTGATTTGTGCATTTTTTAATTCAATTCCAATTTCCATCCAAAAGCAGCTTGATAGAAATCATGGGTAAAAAGTTACCTGATAAATAAGAAACACATTTTCTAACAATGAAAAAAATGGAGTAATTAAGAATCGAAATATAGAAAGAATATTCAGATTCTTAATTTCTGAAGGATGGCTTACATAGATGGTTAAATCAACGTGCAGGCACCTTACAAATTTTTGCCCTGCCAGAATCCGGCAAAGTCTCTCCACTCCACTCACCATTCTCACAGGAGGGGAGAGGATGCAAAGAGCCCATTAGCTCAGCGAGGCTCCACTCCCTCTTCCCCTCCTGTGAGCAACACAGACAGAACTGTGCCCGTGCTCCTTGCCCTCCCCCTGCCACCTCCAGCCTGGGAAGAGGTAGAGGGGGGTGAAGCGCCACTGGAGCTGCGCCCCTCACCCTGGAAAGGGGAGAGGGAACCCCTCTGCTGTTGGCCTACATCTGGAAGAAGTAGGGTCAAGAACCCTAGGTGGGACTGAAGTGAGGCTGGGATGAACTGATGGGGAATGTGGGCTGGGTGCGGACTGAACTTTTGGAGGGGGCTGGGGCACAGGATTAATTGCTGGGCAGGTGAAGAGTCAAAATCCATGTGCTGCTTATATAACATCCTGGTATATGGATTGTGTCAGCTCTTTTACAGGCCCCAAAAGTCCAGAGTTTGGTCAAGAGACCAGAGGTCTAGCAAATCGTGATTAGCTAAGAGAAAGCAGAATAAACAAAAGATAACCTTGCTTTTGCTAAGATAAGCCTGGTCAGCAAAATTGCCAGATGTTGGAGCAATAATTGTGTCTTATTCAAAGTTGCAAAAACAGAACAAAGAAGCCCTGTTTCTGTTGTGTTTGTTTCTTCTGTAGGGAAATGTTCTTCCCACACGCCAACCTTGAGTTTATGAAAGGTTCAAGCATGTCAGCATAAGATATGGCCTTCTCCCACCTCCCTTTCCCAGGGACCAATGCCTGCCTTAAAATGAGCAACTTGAAAGACAATCTTTATTGCCATATACTTTCACTGTTTCTTAGCTTTAACCCCTAGGTATGTACCAGTTGGACAATCAGAGGAGCCACTTCATTCCTATGAACCCCAAATCAGAATTCAATATATATATATTTTATACTAATACATTTTATTAAAATACTAATTAAATGTTAACCTGAAACCATGGGCGGAGACATTACGTAACCTTTGACTATTGGCTACTGTGCTATCTTGTCTTGCTGCTAGACCTATCCAGGGTTTTGGGACTACCTACCCCGTCACTTTCCCCTGCCGCTCTGGGATACCCCAACAAACCTGGATTTTCCACATTGCTGTTGCTCTCCTGGCTAGAGCTGGATAGTGTTTTTTTTTTCCCATGCAAAACCTTTTTTTAGATGGACTGAAACAATTCATCAATTTGGGTTGATTTTGGCAAACCTTTCAATTTCAACCTTTCAATTTCTCCGTTTCAGAATTTCTCTTACTTTTAAAGCATTTAAAAGTTTTTTTAAAAACTCTTGAAAAATTGAAACATTTTGTTTCAGATACACCTGAAACTATTTTTTGTAGCTTTTGGACCTGCACCCAAACTGAATATTCAGTTCTTCACACAGCCCTGTCTCCTGCCTCCCACACTGCTTCTGCTACTTTCCTTCCCACCCCCACTTTCCAGAAGCCCCACAGCACAGCTAACACTACTCACATGCTCTCCCCTTTAAGGTATAACCTCAACAGCTACTAGTTCTCTGGAGTACCTATCAGTGCTGAAAGGAAAAAGAAAATAGGAATGAAGAGGTAGTGCTATGCAGGACAGAGATGTTATATCATGAAAAACTGAGTGAACAGAGGGAACAATTCCATGGGAGAGAAGCCATATAAAATTATGAATGAATGCACTGAAAGAATGGCTGCAAACCTTTCCTTGTATGATGCAGACAGACAAACAGAGGGCTACTAGCTGATACTAGCAGATGCATGAGTAATCCTACATTCGTAATTCTTCTTTTAAAAATAACTCTAAGTACAAGTAGAGAGCAGTATGGGTATAGTGTATTATTAAACCAAGAACAGTCCACAAATACTCTTACTTTTGTGTTGTGCAA